AGAAGTAAAATCAAGAATCAATAAATGAAATGGATTCAAACTAAAAAGCTTCTTCTTGGTAAAGAAAACAATCAATAATGTGAAGAGAGAGCCTTCAGAATGGGAGAAAATCTTTACCACATGCACTGCAGATAGAGCATTAATCTCCAGGATACATAAAGAACTCAAAAAACTTAACACCAAAACCACAAATAACCCAATCAATAAATGGGCTAAGGAACTGAACAGACACTCCACAGAAGAAATATAATCAATCAACAAATATATGAAAAAATGTTTATCATCTTTAGCAATTAGAGAAATGAAATCAGAACTGCTCTAAGATTTCATCTCATCCCAGTCAGAATGGCAATTATCAAGAATACAAGCAACAATACATGTTGGTGAGGATGTGGGGGGAAAAGTACACTCATATATTATTGGTGGGAATGCAAATTGGTGCAATCATTATGGTAAGTGATATGGAGAGTCCTCATAAAATTTGGAATGGAACCATCATTTGACCCAGCTATACCACTCCTCATTTTATATCCAAAGGACTTAAAATCAGCATATTACAGTGATACAGCCACATCAATGTTTATAGCATCTCAGTTCACAATAGCGAAATAGATAGAATATCACTCAGCCTTAAAGAAGAATGAAATTATGGCATTTGCTGGTGAATGGATGGAGTTGTAGAATATCATGCTAAGCAAAATAAGCCAATCCCAGAAAACCAAAGGCTGAATGTTTTCTTTGATATGCAGGTGCTAATTCACAATAAGGGTGGGGAGGAAGTTAGGAAAGAATAGTTACTTTAGATTAGGTAGAGGGGAGTGAGGGGAGGGGAGCGGGTATGTGGRTAGGAAGGACAGTAGAATGAATTAGACATTATTACCCTATGTACATATATAACTATACAACTGGTGGGATTTTACATCATGTACAACCAAAAGAATAAGAAACTATACTCTATTTATCATATATCAAAGTGCATTCTACTGTTATGTATAGCTAATTAGAACAAAATTGTAAATTTTCAAACTAAAAAAAGCAATATTTTTTAAAAAGCTAATTAAGTTGTCTCTATATTGTTTTTCCTAAAGAGCCTTGGATATGCCTGCTTATTTGATGTCATCCATATCTCGCCTCAGACATAAAGAAACAATCAAATCAGTAGGCTCAGATGAGATCTTAAATGAGATAAGTATTTAACACTTCTATAAAGTATACTATTGATTGTTTGCTGTGAATTGCAACTGGTTCCTAATTGGCCTCTCCATCTCTATTTTCTTTGACTTCCAATTTACTTTCCTAACATAGTGAAGATCTTCTTTATAAAATTCTAAGCTTTTTATTCTCTGCTCTAAGTGTCTGTAGAACAAGGTACAATCTCCTTGAAATGGCTACCAAATCTTCAATCTTCTGGCCCTTGTCCACCAACCAGCCTCAGTCCTGTCCACCCCACAGCCGAGTCTCACTGCTCCTTGTTCTACAAGGCCTCCTCTGGTTTCTTCTGCATGCAGTGGCCTCCCCACCTTCTCAACCAGTATTTTCTCTGTGATGTGCTCCTTGTTCTAACCTCAGAAACTTAATCATTCCTTAACTTTAACATATTTCTTCTGTTTTATTTCTCATGTTCCTTCATACTTATTGGTTTATTATTTATTTTCCCCTGGTAAACTTTAAAATTCTTTAGGGAAAGTTCTATTTATCTTTGGGCCCTGGAAAGTAGCTGATGTGGAATAGGATGAATGGATGTTTATTAAGTCAGTGGATGAATACTGGCCATTTGGAAAACTAGTTGCAATCCAGTTGCCAAGTAATTTCCTAGCTTTCTACCTGTACCAACTACGTAAAATATTTCAAAAATCTAGTCAATGTTTATTATGTGTTTCAGGATACCATACATCCTTTTATAGAAGTTTCTTTTCAGCATACAGTATACCAAACCAGTACTGCAAATGGATCTCATCCTTGCTGGAATGAAGAAATTAAAGTAGATTTTATGTAAGTTGGTCGATTTTCCTGAAGCTTTTTGTTTTTTTAAAAAGAAAAAGAAAATTGTTTTCGTAAGCCATTAATTAAAAATAATGATACACTTTAAACTTTTAAATTGTGAAATATTTAATTCATATAAACTAATATACATAATATATAGTATATATAAGTTAGATAATAAAATAAATACCTGCATCCAGATTTAAAAAATAGAATATTACCAATTCCTTAGAAGGCCCTCTGTACCATTACTTAACTATCCCTTTCCCAGAGGTAAAAAAAACCATGAATTTGTGTTTGTCATTCTCTCTCTTCCTTTATTTTACTTCATACATATTTTCCCCAACATTTATTTATGCATGTTTTCAGCTTTATACAAATTGAGTCACAATTATGTATTCTTTTGTAATCTTGTTAATTTACTCAAATTATTTTGAGAGATTCATCCTTGTTCATAATTATGGTCTAGCTGTTTGTTCTGGTCTGAATGTACCCCCAAGGTTGAGTATTGGAAACTTAATCCCCAGAACAGCTGTGTTGGGAGGCGGAGTCTAGTGGGAAGTGTTCAAGTCTTGATGGCGCTTCCCTCACAAGTCAGTTAATACTGTTATAAAAGAGGTAGAGGGATTGTGTTCCCCTGATCTTCTTCTGTCATGTGACAATATAGCGTCTATCCCCTTTTGGTCTTTCAGTTTCTCATCATGTAAAGACACAGCACAAAGGCTTTCACCAGACTCCAGAAACTGGTGCCTTTTTCTTGAACTTATAGCCTCTAGAAATATGAGAAATAGGGCTGGGGATGTGGCTCAAGCAGTAATGCGCTCTCCTGGCATGCGCGGGGCGCTGGGTTCAATCCTCAGCACCACATAAAAATAAAATAAAGATGTTGTGTCCACCAAAAACTAAAAATAAATATTTTTAAAAAGAAATATTTATTCTTATTCTTTATAAATTACYCAGTCTCAGGTATTATGTTATAGCAGCATAAAATGGGTTAAGACTGCTATTTATTTTTTTCACATCTATATAGTATTACATTGTATGAAAACATAATTTATTTATGCTTTCTTCTGTTAATGCACATTTGTCTTGTTTCTAATTCTCTTGTATTGCAAGCAGAGTTGCTGTGGACATTTTGTGCTTATCTTCTGAAACACACGTCTAAGAGTTTTTTTAATAAGACAGTGGCTCTCAAACTTTTTGTGCATTAAAATCACCTACAAAGCTTCTTAAAACAGATTTCTGGATCTACCTCCCTAGTTTCTAATTCATTAGGCCTTATAATTATAGTCCTAGCAAGCTACCAAGTGGCACTAATGCTGCTAGTCAGGCAACAAACTTTAAGAACCTCTCCTCTCTCTAGTCCAGGAGCAGAATTGCTTTGTTGTAGTTGAATTCAATTTCAACTTCACTAGATAATGCCAAACTGTTTCCTAAAGTGATTGTACTAATACACATTATAACAACAATGTATAATTGAAATATTTTTTATTTTTTCTGATATAATGGATCTAAAATGGTATTTTCATTGTGGTTTAATTTATATACTTTTTCCAGGCATAGTGGCACACACCTGTAACCTAGCAGCTCAAGAGGCTGAGGCAGGAGGCTTGCAAGTTCAAAGCCAACCTCAGCAACTTAGCAAAGCCCTAAGCAAGTTAGTGAGACCCTATCTCAAAATAAAACATTAAAAGAGTTGGAGATGTGGCTCAGTGGTTAAGAGCCCCTGGGTTCAATCCCTGATACAAATATATATATATATATATATATATAACACTCTTATTTTTAATGAGGTTGTACTTTTTTTTTTCTTCAGCTTCTTAAATCTAACAGATTTTATTCTTTAGATAAGTTTTAGGTTTACAGTAAAAGGGTGTGGAGAGAGTTCCTGTGTACCCCCTCACTACAACACACAGCCTCTTGGCATCAACATGCTATATTAATGTGGTATATTTGTTACAACTGATGAGCCAACATTGACACATCACTGTCTAAGACTTGTTTTAATAAGACAGTGGCTCTCAAACTTTTTGTCATTAAAATCACCTACATAGCTGTCTGTCATCAGCCAATGTGCATGGTTTACATTAGGATTCATGCTCTGTGTTGTACATTCTGTGGGTTTTGATAAATATACAGTGCCATTCACTCACCTTTATAATATCATACAAAATAGTTTCACTGCCCTAAAAATTGTGTGCTCCATCTGTTTGTCTCCCACTCTTCTTAGAACCACTAATCTTTTTATTGGCTCCACATTTTGCCTTTTCCAGAACAGTGTTGTATGAATCAGGATTCTTCAGAGAAACAGAACCAAAGGGGGGGGAGGTCCACAGGGAGGTCAGTCTTTTTAGTGTTTTCAACTAATTGGAAGAAGCCCACCTTTATTGTGGAGAGTAATCTGATTTACTCAGAGTTTATTAATTTTTTTAATTGCAACCAAAATACACTTTCACAGAAACATGTAGAATAACATTTGACCAAATATCTCTAAAATGTGGCCTCGCCAAGTTGGCACATGAAAGTAGCCATCGCAGTCATATAGTCGGAATAATACAGTATGGAAACCACTGAGCTGCATCCCCTGCCTTTTGTTTTTATTTCTGATTTTGAGACAGAATCTCACTAAGTTGCCCAGGGTGGCCTTAAACTCCTCCTGCCTCAGAATCCAGAAACTGGATTACAGGTGTGGGCCACCACCCTGACTCCTTCATGTCTTATCATGGTTTGATAACTCATTTTTTTCCATTGAATAATACTCCATCGTACGGACATGTCAGAATTCTATTTGTCTGTTCACCTTGAGCTTCTTTTCAATCATTAGTATTTTATTTTCTGTACATCTTCCTATTGCTCTGTCTTTTCCTTTTTTTTTAAGGAGTTCTCTGTATCTTTTGGATATTAGCCCTTTGTCTCTTATATGTGGTGAAACTACTTTTCCCTAATGCTTGGGTTTTCATTTTCTTTATAATATATTATGATGAAAAATCAGTTATTAATTTTACTATCATTTTCCTTTATGGTTTGTGGTTTTTTAAAATCTTGTTTAATTATCAGTGGACTTCCTTTACTCTCCTTACTTTAAAACTTAATTTGCATTGAAGTTTTAGACTCCTTGCACTTTCTAAACAGCATGTACATATATATCTTTCTATGCTATTCCTATATATAAAAGGTGTAGCTGATAAATCATATTTTTAAGCCTAAAAGAAATACCCAACTATGTTCCTTGCTACCAGGAAGGAACAAAATAGACTAGAGTTTCTTGATTCTGTAACTAAATGTGGTGTTTAGGAACACAAACTCACACACATACACAGAACCCAGGGAAAATTGATATAATTAAATATGTACGTTCTCTAATATAGCTGTGTTTTACTGCTGGGTACAAATTTCTGATCAAGCATCTGTAGATGTTAAATATGAAAATGTTTTCCTAATAATATGATGTTATTTTTTTCTTTAAAGGTGGGAAAATTGACTTCTTATTTGTATATGCAGATGAGGACTGTCTTATGGATTGAATGTCATATGATTTATATGATTTTCTAATTTTTTTAGAACTTTGTATTAACATTTTATATTTCACATTATTTTATAGTTCATATATGATTATATATGATTGTTTATATGCTCTTATATTATTTATATAATTTATCTAGTGTTAACATAGTCATTCCCATCAACAAGTCTTAGAGACTCAGTAGAACTAACATAATCATTTATATATATATGAAGACATTGTGTAGGCTATATAAACAGTCACATTCCAGCTGCCACTTTACATGGAAACCTCCAGACCCTAACCAGGATGTGCAAGGAGAGGGAGACCCTGAAATCATATGCCGTGACTTCAATTGGATGAGAAAAAAATCATAATAGACTAGTGTGCCTTTGAATTTTGTTAGCTCAGATGCTATGGATACTTTTACTAACAGTAGAAATCAAGTTTGTTCTTCCATATTTAATATCAGCTCAGTTGTATTTTCAGAGTCTTTGGCTATAGTTCCCAAATAGCTTTTCTTATTTGACTGCCTGTGTGGATATTGTACCTCTTGCTTTGCCCTTCATTCATACTTGATTTCCTGAAATTTTATTTATTTTTTAGTTGTAGATGGACACAATGCCTTTATTTTATTTATTTATTTTTATTTAGTGCTGAGGATGGAACCCAGTACTTCACATGTGCAAGGCAAGTGCTCTATTACCAAGTTACAACCTCAGCACTTTCCTGAACTTTCCAGTCTTTGTGTATGAAGGAGAGTGTTCATTTTAAAGAGAATATTATATTATGTCAAATTCACTAATTAGTATATCAAATGTATTTTCTTTAAAAGTTTATAAAAGTAAGCTGGGCATGGTGGTGCACACTACTCAGGAGGATGAGGCAGGAGGATCACAAGTTTGAAGCCAACCTGGGCAACTTAGTGAGACCTTTTCTCAAAATAAAAGAGAAAAAGAGCTGAAGATGTGGCTCCGTGGTAGAAGTGGTAGAGTGCTTGCCTGGCATATTCAAGGCCCTGGGTTCAATCCCCAATAAAGAATAAAAGCTTGTAAATGTAAAATATGTGGTTATATGTGTTTGAAAATATTTAGAATATTAATTTAGACATTGAAATTAGAAGAAGTATACTGTATTAAATAATTTGGGAGGACACAAACAGATAAATAAACTTCTAAGTGAACTAAATAAAGACTGGAGAGTGTTTTCATTCTTGCAACTGTAACAATGAGCTAAATCAAGAACACACTTGGGTTCAACTGAATGGATCTGACAATTCAGCCAAGGCAAAATCATCTAGGGACCACTTTTTATGGCCTCCAAAATAAGTCCCCTATTTCTCTTCTTCCTGTGACATTTTAGTGACTAAAAACCCATGCAGATAGTAATAATAAATAATTCACAAGTAGTACATAGCCCTCTAAGCCGAAGTTTGGAGGAGGAACTGTGGCAAATTTTGAGGAAAGTTTGAGTACAATACAAGATAATTCAGAAAGTCTTGAAGGATTTAAGGGATATTCTAAGTTAACAAGCTTCAAAATGTCCTGAAGATGATAGTTGTCCCTCCTTCTGCCTGGCCTGCCCTGCCTTAAGGCTTTCCAACATGAAAGGAAACCCTTGAGCGAATTAGGGGAGTTAGATGTTAATTTGTCCCTCAGAAATGTAAGGGACATTTTAGTTTAAAATTTCTCTCTAAACTCAATTAGCATTTTTCAGCTATCACTACCTATTGGACTCAGAAAGTTATAGGAACCGTTAAGAGATCCTTTRAGATAGTACCTGCTTCTTTAAGTAACAGGCTTTAACAAATAATGTTTGAGCTGGGTGCAGTGGCACACTCCTATAATCCCAGCAGCTTGGGAGGCTGAAGCAGGAGGATCACAAGTTCAAAGCCAACCTCAGCAAAGTGAGGCACTAAGCAACTCAGTGAGACCCTGTCTCTTAAGTAAAATACAAAATAGGGCTGGGGTTGTTGCTCAGTAATGGAGTGCCCCTGAGTTCAATCCCTGTACCCCACCCCCCAGCAATYAAAAATAAAAATAAAAATAACACAAACCAAATAAGGTCTGAGGTCTGCCACTTGGTGGCAACACCAATAATTGAGTTTCAATTACCCCATGTATGATAACCTACTATACAGGATTGTGATTTTCATCTTAGTTGAATGTTTGATGGAGATTCAATACTCTAGCTGGAGCTGAGAGTGGAAGGTCATTGCTTATGATATATACTGTCATTTCTGTTACTTCCAATGTGTACCTAATCAAGTAAGCCATCAGCAGACAGCTTGCAAAATTAAATATACTCTATTATCCCAATTTCTCGTTGGAGAAAATAAATATGAGAAAAAGAATAAGCTCTGCAGTTATTAAGTAATCAAATCCATGAACTGGAAGCAAAAGAGGGTTTTTATTTGTTTTTATTTAGGTTTTTTTTTTTATTCTTTATTTTGTAATCAAAGGGATTGAGCCCAGGGGAGCTATACCTCAGAGGTATATCCCCAGCCCCTTTTTATTTGAGAAAGGGTCTCACCAAGATGTCCAGTTTGTCCTCAAATATGTGATCCTTTTGCCTCAGCCTCCTGGGATTTCAGGAATGTGCCACTGAGCCCAGAAAGAGCATTTCAACCATATATATAAACCAAGAATTTAAGATAGTAGATAATCTGAATACAGCATTTCCAGATAATGTTTCAGTGGATGGCTCTGGTGCAAGCCTTTCTGCTTGATAGTTAACATTTTTACTTTTCATCTTAAAAGAGATATAAGGTAAATTCCAAAGCACCTACTGATTCTAATGGAAGGTCACAGCTAGTTTTCAAAGCATGCAGCTTTTTCTAGGTTTATGCTTTATAAAGAAAAGGATACGACAATTTTACCATACTTTATGAATAATAATCTCAGAAAATAAATGGATTTTGAAAAAAATAAGCACTTAACCTATGTTTTTCTTATTTGCAGCTCACCAGGACATGATTATAGCTTCTCAAGCTTATCTAAAATAAAAGATAATATATGTATCAACATTTTTGATGAAATGATAATTGAAAAACATGAGGTAAAGTAGAATAATTGTAATAGTCAATGTTCAAATAATTCTAAGAAGATCCAACTGTCATTTGAAGAATTCTGTAAGCTGGGTGTGGATGCTCAATTCAGGCCAAGTGGTGTCCTTGCATACATAAAATTTGTGTGTGTGTGTGTGCTACTTGAGATTGAACCCAGGACATAGCACATGCTAGGCAAGGGCTCTAGTACTAAGTTATATCCCCAGCCAAGTTCTACTTCTTTTTAAAATTCTTTTACAACTTTTAAATAACCTTTTATAATTTACCCAAATCTTTATTTAGTTGTGTATTGTATCTCTTTCTATTTGGGGATCGTAGTAGTCTTCACATGTATTCTGGAGCAGGGCAATAGGCAGAGCCCTATGCTAGACAAAGCTGGCCTTTTGACAAATCTTAACAAAAGTTTTTACATTTGAAGCTAATCTATTCCCTCTTTCTAAATATCATTCTATTTAGGTAGATGTGGAAACAAAGTTTTATATATTGTTAATTTGTAAGGGACATATGAAGTTAACATTAATAATACTGCATCTGAAATTTGAATCCATCAGAAAGACTAAGAGAGCCCATATTTTTCTTTCCTTGTGAAAAAAGGGGCAAAATATTTTTATGTTGCACATTGCCAAACTTAAATCAACCAGGCTCATATTATCCTTCCAAAAATACATTTAAATTCTCATGCTGGTATAAAGAATAATATAATTCTTCATATAACTTATTAATAACCGGTTACTTTTATTCAGTTTCAAAATATTGAATAGCAAAATAAATCCCTGTTATGGTCTACTTATGAGGTATCCTCCAAAAGCTCATGTATAAGACAGTATCATAATTTTCAGTGGTGAAATGATTAGATTATGGAGATGTGAACTAATCAACTGATACGAGTTAACTGGGTTGTAACTGTAAGCAGGTAGGGTGTGGCTGGAGGAAATAGGTCACTGGGGATAAGCCTTTGGGGTTCATATTTTGTCCCTAGTGAGCAGAACTCTCTCTGATTCCTGATTGCCAAGCTGCTTTCCGTCTTCTGCATCCTTCCACCATGATGTTCTGTCTTACCTGGGGCTATAGCTGTGGAGTAGGCTGACCATGGACTGAACCTCTGAAACAATGAGCCAAAATAAACTTTTTCTTCTCTAATTATTCTTGTCAGGTCTTTTGATAACAGCAATGACTGAAACAATCCCCACTTAATTTTGCCTTTTAAGAATAAATAAAATATAGTAAAATAGAACATGTTTAGAGATGTACTCCCTAGGTGACCAGTGCCCTCAATCATTTTAATTATCAGAGTGGCATCATTTGGAATGTCAACTGTTTGGACACATCTAATTATCTTTACTCAAAAATGATATAATGTAATTAGGAACACACAAACATAATCCTGAAAAAGTTTGTCCCAAGAAACGATTTTAGTTTGGAGGATACACACATACAAATTTTCTGTAGTTTTGTATTTTAAAAAGAGTGTGTAATCTGCAGAATGCAAAGTATACATTTAACACACAAAGAAGCCAGAAATAATTAACATCACAGTAACACAGATGTCATATGTATAAAATTAGCTTTTATTCTTGAAGCAAAATTCACAATACATGTTTTCATAGAATAACTATAATTATGTGAGTCTCCTGTAACAGGTTTRCATAGACTAATAATACTGAAAAAAAATCAAAGAATATCTTTGTGTGGTTTAGGAAGCAGGGCTAATAATCCCAAAGAGATTTATCATGGAGTGTACAGATGCAGTACATCTCATATACACCATAACAAAATATGTTGTACAAAAGAGAACACTTACCAGTTACCTTGCATGTATTAAACCTTCATAACTTTAACTTTACAAACTCTTGTGTAACATTTAGAAAAAGCTCAAATACACTGCATATTTAGCCTCCAGATGTATACACAACTCTAGTCACAGATATATAGTGTCAAATATATCATATAACCTAAAATAACATATTTAATTAGAGTTATAAAGTGATCACTTAAAAGATTTTAAAATAGACAGGTACTTATACAAACCTTGATTTTTTTAAGACTAGTTTTCCTAAGTAAAGAAAACCTAATAGATCAAGAAATTGTCTTGATAAAATACAAAGTCTTTGTTCTTTAAGCCAGTTCTTTGTGAACGTTAATAATAGCAGACTACTGTTTGTTTGTTTTTTAAACTTATTGCTTTCAATATAGAGAATTAGAGTCTGGTTTTTTTATCAGTTCATTAAATTTTGACTTTGGAAAAACTCTTAAACAACTTAATTCTAGCTGACTTAATCACACATACAAATTTTCTAAGGTTTATTTTTGTAAGCCTTCTTTGACTTGACTTAGAATCTCTACAACTTATATACAATCCTTTCTCATCAAAAATCATTCCTTTTTCCTTTTAACTTTCCTTACCAATAATATATCCCCACAGCTATCACTTTCTTATGTCTCTTTTCTTTTTCCTTAATATTTTTAAAATTTRTAATTTGAAACAAGCCTTACATAATTTCTAAATTTAGGTAAATTATTACTTTTTCCTCAGTAAGATAAATACTTTTTTGCATATTTWAAAAAATCAAAACATAGCTTAAAGCCTTAAACATGTTAATTAGAATGTTAACTCTCAGCAACCTTGCTTTTTAGTGAAGACCCAGAAAAAAAAATCTTAATTGATTTTCCACATAACAAAAATTCATTAAAACACATTTATTAATATACTGTTGTAAGCTATGCCTTTAAAATAGACCAAACACATTTGTCTTTACATAGTGTCAGAATTTATTGAATAACAATATATTCACAAGCTCCACCATTTTCAGTGGTTTCAACTCACCAAATACTTGTCACCTGTTATTCAGAAGCCAGACAATCACAAGTTCTTTATTTCAATCTCATCTCTATAATACTGAAGTCCCACACACTTTATACAATGATATAGGTTACAGAAAGTTTAAGAAAGGGTTAAGGCAGAGGAATGGTCAGTGTAGCAGAATAAATTTATGGGGAAGGAGGAGAGATGGGAAAGGGTAGGAAATGTGGAATAAATTTGACAAAATCACACTATGTATGTATAAATGTAACAGGTGAATTCCACCTTTATGTGCATTTGTACAGACCAATTAAAATAAACAAGGAGGACTCAGGAAGCAGAGAGAGGGAGGACACAGAGGGAAAGGGCCACCGGGAAGATTCACCTTTCTAGGTCACGCACCTAATGACTCACCTCCTCCAGTCATGGCCTCCAGCTTATAGTTACCAGTCCTTCCATTCAAACCAAAATGCACTGATTAACTTACAGATCACATAGTCTAATCATTTTACTTCTAAATATTCCTGCATGAACAGAAGCTTTTGAGGTATGCCTCATATCCAAACCATAACAGTGACATGGCCTCAAATTTGCAGCTTTCCTGCCTCAGCCTCCTTCGTTGCTGTGATAACAGGCATATACCAACATATCCAGCTAAAGCTTATATCCTGCTTTCAGTTGCCTAGAAGGCATTTGTGAGCCCAAGTGAAGAGTCAGTGCTTTTAGCAAAAAACACCTCACCTACTTATAACACTGGGGATGAAAGAGCTGAACTGAACTGGATTTGGACTTGGCACAGAAAGCTAGAAGCATCTTCCACATTTGGAACTTAGGTGAACCAAAACTGTTATAAACCCTCTTATTGCCACAAAAAGAACTTTACTCCAAAGATGTTGGTTTAAAAAGGAAAAGAAAAAAAAGAAAAAAAAAAAAACAGCTGGGGGACCTAGCCAACATCTGTAATTCCAGCTGAGGCAGGAGGATTGCGAGTTCAAGGCCCTCCTGGGCAATTTATCAATACCCTGTCTCAAAAGTAAAAATTAAAAAGGCTAGGGATCTAGCTCAGAAGTAGAATGCTCTTAGATTCAACTTCCAGTACTGCATTTTTTTTCCTCTTTTTAAAAAACATTTTAAATTTATCAGCATATCATTTTCATCATAATCCCTTAAAATTTTTTCCTAGTATTATCTACTCTTCCCTAACTTTGTCCAAATGTGTCTAATTTTATTCCATGATTTATTTTGGAAGCATTTAAACAAAACTCATGAAACCAGAGGATCTCTTTTAAAAAGGGCTTTATTGAGCCAACACAGATGCTGCTAGAACGAAAGGCCAAGTCCTGAGACAAACAAGTTCCGGCAGTAACCACAGTAACCAGCAGTATGGCTCTGTAGCGGTTGGAAAAATGCTCACTGGACCTTTAAAGAGCCAGAGTATTTTATAATGCTAATCTGGGGGAAAGAACCTATAAATTATTTATAGTGAACCTGTCACTGGAGAAGAGACTTCTCCAGAGAAAGGTCTAAGAAGTTTCCAGAGGGGAGGGGGAATTCAAGTCAGGACAAGGGGGGTTCTTGGCACATGTAAGCGGAAAAAAATTTCAACTGGAATCTAAGGCATAGACAGAGGTTTATTTAGGAAGTAGATAACACATTCTAGGGAAAATGCAGGCTCTCTTGAGAGAAGCCCTCCCTTGGGCTGGGGGTGCAAAATTTACAGAAAGGCCATGGTTAGGGGCCCGGCTGGAGGTGGAGCCAGGTGGAGCTACACAATTTTGCACCCTGAGCAATTTTCCCTGTGCTTGTGTGTTTCCTTTATTTTACAGGGACATGGGCCAAGGACATGTCATACAAGATTTACAACTGTGCTTTCTGCATCTCAGTGACTCCCTTAAGATACAGTATCTCTCTCTCTCTTTACTCTAAATACGTATCTCAAAACTACATTGGCTGTAGGCAAGAGAGGATAACACAAGAGTGGGAGAAACTTTGGGTTAGGAGGGCAGAGAATAAGAAGGAATTCAGGACTAGCTGAGGTTGTAAACAGAATGAGGTGGCAATTCAGGGTATAAAACTGTCGTCTTCTATTCAATCTGTAGTTTCTTAGCTGTATAACTTCCCCCATTTCACCTCCCCTCCACTATTCATCCCTTATAATTAAATTTAAGACATCTCAGAATCTTTCCTATT